AGGGTATCTGGTCCTTCAGGTCTCTAATAGGGTGATAGAATGATTCTATAGGGTATCTGGTCCTTCAGGTCTCTAATAGGGTGATAGAATGATTCTATAGGGTATCTGGTCCTTCAGGTCTCTAATAGGGTGATAGAATGATTCTATAGGGTATCTGGTCCTTCAGGTCTCTAATAGGGTGATAGAATGATTCTATAGGGTATCTGGTCATTCAGGTCTCTAATAGGGTGATAGAATGATTCTATAGGGTATCTGGTCCTTCAGGTCTCTAATAGGGTGATAGAATGATTCTATAGGGTATCTGGTCCTTCAGGTCTCTAATAGGGTGATAGAATGATTCTATAGGGTATCTGGTCCTTCAGGTCTCTAATAGGGTGATAGAATGATTCTATAGGGTATCTGGTCCTTCAGGTCTCTAATAGGGTGATAGAATGATTCTATAGGGTATCTGGTCCTTCAGGTCTCTAATAGGGTGATAGAATGATTCTATAGGGTATCTGGTCCTTCAGGTCTCTAATAGGGTGATAGAATGATTCTATAGGGTATCTGGTCCTTCAGGTCTCTAATAGGGCGATAGAATGATTCTATAGGGTATCTGGTCCTTCAGGTCTCTAATAGGGTGATAGAATGATTCTATAGGGTATCTGGTCCTTCAGGTCTCTAATAGGGTGATAGAATGATTCTATAGGGTATCTGGCCCTTCAGGTCTCTAATAGGGTGATAGAATGATTCTATAGGGTATCTGGTCCTTCAGGTCTCTAATAGGGTGATAGAATGATTCTATAGGGTATCTGGTCCTTCAGGTCTCTAATAGGGTGATAGAATGATTCTATAGGGTATCTGGTCCTTCAGGTCTCTAATAGGGTGATAGAATGATTCTATAGGGTATCTGGTCCTTCAGGTCTCTAATAGGGTGATAGAATGATTCTATAGGGTATCTGGTCCTTCAGGTCTCTAATAGGGGGATAGAATGATTCTATCGGGTATCTGGTCCTTCAGGTCTCTAATAGGGTGATAGAATGATTCTATAGGGTATCTGGTCCTTCAGGTCTCTAATAGGGTGATAGAATGATTCTATAGGGTATCTGGTCCCTCAGGTCTCTAATAGGGTGTGTAACATTGGTTGGGCTGAAAATGGCATATTAGCTGTTCTATGAGCCCTAATGCAGCCTGGTTAAAAGCCCTAGAATGAAACCACAGCTTTTCTTCCTTTTATGGTTTGATCATGAATATTTAGATGAGCTGTGCTCTGATTGGTTGGTTTACAACGAGCCAAGCTGCTGAGCAAAGACGCATCATAGCAACAAGCACTCACTCACTGAAACATCGTTGGTATTGTAGGGGGACCAGACGTCCTCTTTTTCCCGGACATGTCCCACTTTTTAGACCTAAAAAAATATATGGGGGGAATTTCAAAATCGTCCAGGATTTTGGTCGCCTACAGTGCAGCAGAACCGAGCCATCAGCTCCAGGGCTGGACCAGGAACGCCGGCGGACGGGGGAAGGAGCGACTGAACTGACCCGGTGACAGTAGCCACGGCCCGATGCTTCCCCCCCCCGCCAGCCTTACTAGTATGCAATTAACTAAGCTCCTCGTTTCTGTTAAAGAAGTTTAGAAAATCCTGCTTTGAACTGTCCAACATTTGGAAAGCTGTCTTCAAGCAAATGAACAGCTGAGCATCAAACTTTGCAGCGATCTTCTGATAGACTAAAATAATCCCTGTCTGTCGGATCCTTTGGAAGACTGAAAATGTTCCCCTTCCTCCGGTCAGCCTGGAATGCTGCATTTCCTCCCGTGGTTCTGGATCATTTTCTATAGAGAAACTTCCTGCTTTGTAATTCTGTAGCAGTAAACCCACCTGTAGGCTAAACAGCTAAGCTGCTGTCTTCCATCTTCCTCTATTCATGTTCCTGGGCCGTGAACCAGTGGGCTGGTCTGGATGTACATTTCAGGGCGTGATAAAAGTCCAGGCCAGAACCGAATAAGGCAACATCCCAGAGTTTACGTCAACTCGTTGCTTCGTTTGGATTCACCGTTTTATGGTAGAAGTTTAGAATAGTGAGATTTGCAGAGAAAGGAGGAGTTGATGGAGTTTGATCTTCTCTGTACGTCCATTTCACCCACTGAACTATCGTTATTCATCTATGAACATGGAAACTCTGCATTCTATCACCCCTTTAAGAGACAAATTGGATTCTAAATGAATGAATGATGATTTTTCCTGCCCTGTTAGTTCCTTTCTTCACTGAAATATTGTATTTGACCTGTTGGTGCTTTGATCAAAAGGCCCCAAACATCAAAGACGAATATTAATTTAACTTTACAGTAGATCATGTGTTCTTCTTATTGGACAACATGGCAGAACAGAATTTGACCAAAGATCAACGATATATCCTGCATCTCCTTTTGATGACTGTTAGGAAAATGATAATGGATGCAGAAAATGAAACACGTCCAAATGATGGACAATATGGCCGCTATTCTACAGGTGAAACTGTTTATAAGGAGATGGACTCTTTTTACTCTATACATGGGTGAACGTGAATAGATAATGGACAGATAGATATGCCCATGTCATCTAGAAAATTTATGTGATCCTTTTTTTCGTCAGTCCAGCTGATTGTATTTTAGTCTGTCTTCTTTTCTTTGTTGATGGTTTTGTTTTGCTGTTGTCGTTGTTGTTGCACTTAGTGGTTATGTTGGTCTCTACTGGCAATAAAGTAAAAACAAATCCACCCACCCATCATCCATCATTGCCCCTTTTTCACAAATCAAATATCCTATTTCTAAAGGTCAGGTTGTGTTTACACACAGTTTCCAGTTTTACTCCATCGTTACATTTTGCTTTTTCTGCCTCTAAATGTTTTATTTTATTTATAACTCATCCTTTATCTGAATAATTTCTTAATGCTGGAATCGGTTTATCTGCAGCATCTCTTGCACCATAGAGCTCAGAGAGAGATTCCTTCCTGTGACTCTCCGTTAGCCGCCCCACGACTTCCCCGTCATTTCTGACCGCTGAGATTAGATTAAATTATCTAAAGCATTCATCTGCAGAGAGGAGGAAGAGGTTAGAGCTGATTTAGCCGAGTATACGGTGAAACATAAGACCAAAATAACGGTTTAACTTCCACCATCTCAACTGACTTTATCAGAGAAGAAGCCTGAATGAGCTTAAGAGGAAATGAAACGAGATTAAAAGAAGAGAGGTCATCGGCTCTCTGGGGACATCAGATGTCCTCCGCATTGATGATGGGACAAGGAGAGGAGACAGGAAGTCATCAGCAGAGGAAGAGAGAGAGGGAATACGCTACCAGGGAGACAGTGATGGAGGAGGCGGTTCACCCCCACCGCTTCTGGCTGCTGGTGGGTTACATTAACGGTTGGTGCAAAACATCCACCTTTCAGCTCAGCTGTAAAATCAGGCGGCACTAATAGAGCTCGATCATCGGGTCTAAAAACGCACTGAGGGAGCAGGAAGTATAACAAAACAAGCTTTAAAGATTTTTGTTTAAAGTGGCTAGAAAAAACTTTCAGTTTCTCAAATAGTTCCCCCGTAACCAGGGGCAGATTTAGTAAATATGGGGCCCTAGGCAAAGACAGGCAGGGGCCCCTCTGAATGGAGAAGGCAGCACATAAACAGCCCCATTCTCCAGATGTAGAAATGTTAATAGAATAGACATCCATTATCTGTTCTAGGTTGTGTCCCTCTCTTCTCGTCCCTTTTCTTCTTGTTTTCCTCTCTATGTTTTGTACTCAGCTGACTTTTCATGCTGTCTCTAAAGGAATTAAAGATTTTTTCCAAGCACTAAGCTCACTTAGCTGATTGCTCCTTCCTGTGTTTCCAAAAAGGCCAAAGTAAATAACCCAGTCCTTCTTTTCACTGTAGACAAGCCATGATCTGCTTCTCTGTTCTCCATTTTTCATTTGGATGAAATAATAGCTGCATGAATCATGACAGCAGACAAGATAGAGGAGAGCAGGAGGCGGGGTTACCAATCTACTCGCTCTGGAGAGCAGAGTTCGCTGCTTTTAGATGTTGTCTCCAAAGTCTCCAGTAGCAGAAAAAAGTCTCTAGATTTGGCGCTAGGAGCTTTTTAGAAATCAAAGTGCTAGAGGGGTCTGAAAAGTGGCTAAATATAGCGACTAAAGCGCTAAGTTGGCAACACTGCTCTTTGCATGGTTTGTTTTCAAATGGTTTGCTGCTGTCTGTTTGGACCTTTCTGAACATGTGCAGCAAATGGACTGATCCAATATGGTGGACACTGAAGGGGGGGGGCTGAGACACAATTAATATTATCAGCGTTCTGATGGCATTTTAGCCAAAGGAGTCTATTTTTCCAGACTAAAGAAATCTGGAGGAATTTCCATAAAGTCTCTGATGGTTGATGGATATTATAGGTCACCAGGTAACTATTTTTAAACCAGTGTTGTATTTAGGGTTGAAACAAAAACCGAATATTTGTAATTAATCCATTATTTAGACAATTAGATTTAGGAATCAATGGTTAACTGGAATATACTGAATCTAACACATCAGCCATAGAACAAAATAAAGCTCTAATTATGCCACAATTGTTAAAAATTAATATGCATATATGAACATTTTGTTTTGAAGATGAAAAAGATAATTTGTCCCTAATCTGGATTTAACAGGAAGCCAATGAAGAGAAGCCAGGATAGGAGAGATATGATCTCTCTTTTTCATTTTCATCAGAACTCTGGCTGCAGCATTTTGGATCAGCTGAAGGCTTTTAACTACAGTTTGTGGACTTCCTGATAGTAAAGAATTACAATAGTCCAGCCTTGAAGTAACAAATGCTTGGATGATTAATTGGATGCTCTGCTGATAGAAGCTGGAACACCAATCGGTTGAAGCCGTCTGCATCAGTGACCTTTAGTTGAATCCAGGAGTCACAGCCTGACATGTTGAATTTAAGCCGAGGTGAGCTATGAAAACAGAAGCTGGTTTCATCCTCCATGCGTTTCTGTTTAACAGGAAGGAGATTCTCTGGGAGCGATGGAGAAGGTCTGCCGCCAGCTGACCTACCATCTCAGCCCCCACTCTCAGTGGAGGAGACACGGGCTGCTCAGGAGGAAACCTCAGGCCTGGTGAGTCCATGACCTTCTCTAAGCCCACGTCTCCCTGACTGGGCAGGTTTCAGGTAAAGCTGGGATCTGTTCTTCTCTTCACATCCGTTTGTAGAACATTGGTCCTCTAAGGCTGCAGAAGGAGAGCAGAGATACCGGCTGGATTTAAATAAACACCCAGCTGGTTGCACAACATGCAACTACACCATCAGAAGCAACACGCTAACCCAGCTGCTTCCCTCAGAGCTGATGTCAGGCTGAGAACAAGCTGGGATGATATGCCAACAAAATGACATTCAGGCTGTTTAACATTTTTTACTTTAGACTAACTGGCTGCTAAGAGTTTAATTTAAACAGATTCCTTCAGTGCAGAGCAGCTTCATGGAAAGATGCTTCCATCCAGCTTTTCCCTCCATGGTTATAGATGAAGTCCCATTTAGCTCCCGAACATTGGGCCCCGCCCACCTGCCATTAACCCCGAACATTTCAGTTCTCTGACCCAGTGCTGCTAACTGGTCCATCCAGGCCTCCCAGCAGCTTCACCATTAGAGCCTCTAAAGATCTGAGTAAAGCGAGTTGGATTGAAACCCGTTTATTTAACTCGTTACAAGCAGCTTCTCTTCTTCAACCTGAGAATAAAAATCCAGAATGGGATCCGTAGCAGAACCTGAAGGAAGCGCCTGAAGCAAAGCTCTGAGCTTCAGGAACGAGTCGCTGGATCTTGATGACCAACCTTCGCTCCTGGAAAGGGGAACGCTGGTGGACGGACAGCCAGTGACTGGGTTGGGTCGTAGTGGAACGTAGCGACCCGGTACCGCTTACGGCTGTAGCGGGATCTGGACTTCTTGGTGTAAACCACATCCTGGTCATTTACAGGAGTGAACTCTGGCTCCTCCTCCTCACCTGGATCAGAGGAGGAGCTGTAGCTCTCCTCTCCAACCTGCAGGGAGCTGCTGTCAGCTGGAGCTCCATGCTGGTTGCTCTGCTGGGCCCCAGAAGGAAAACCGCCGCCGCCACCGACCGAGTCGAATCCTGGAAAACCAGGAAACCTGCTGATGTGTCCACTGGGGAAGTGGGAGACTGGCTGGGATGGTCCCTGCTGAGTGGATGGAGCTCCAGACCACCATGGCAGCCGTTCATCTCCAGCAGCTGAGGAAGCAGCTCAGAGTCAGAGCAAACATCTACAGAACATTCCAGACTCCATGTGGGATTAAAGCTCACCTGGAGGAGCACAGGTGATGCTTCCAATCAGCAGGAAAGAAATCCACCACATCCTGCAGAAACATGGAGGTTCAGATGATCAGCAGCATTCAGAGCAGAAGCTTCTAGCAACACATGTTGAGTCCAGGATTGAAGCTGCTGTTAAAGTGGAGCTGCTGCTGCTGCAGTGAAGGACAGACCTCAGATAGGAGCTGCTTTATAGGATCCTCACAGCAGCTGGACATGATTGGAGCTCATTGATGGACCTCCTCTCATTGGCTTCCTCCTTCTGAGGGGGAGAAAGGTTACCATGGAAACACTTAAAGGAGCAGCAGCAGCAGCAGGAGGATCTAAGCAGTGACAGAGTTCAGCCATGTTTTACAGTCTGACTCCAGGAAGGAAGTTTATGATCTGATTAGATGGATAAAAAAAGGAGACAGAAATATTCAAACTGTGCCTTTTCTTCCGGGTTTTTATCCCAAAATAATTAGTAAGATAATTGAATATTTATTCTGGATTAAATGTATAGATTCCTTTTGTAGAAATTAAAGAATATTTCCAATCACCTCTAATGCTACGTTTACGCCTAAAGCAGCAGAAGCAGCTCGTTTACATGCTAAGTTGATGGTTGACGCTCATCTTGGCGCATCAGAAGGTCCTGCATCGTCTACAGCAGCAGGAGCAGCGGCGCCTCAGGAGCTTCTGATCATCTGAGGCGCTTCAGAAGCAGCAGCTGCTGGACATCAACCAATGAGAGAAGCTGATCTGGGAGCTGGCAGGGAGTCAGACGCAGCACTGCTGATGCAGAGCGCTATGATCACTCCTCTGAAACAGTTTATTAACGCCTAAATTAACTTCAAATGTAGAAACCTGCCGGCAGAATATGTTGGCTTTTATTATCCTGCTGCCTGCAGTTTGTAGCACAGACCTGAAAAACGCTAACATCTACTTCCAGCCGCCACCAACAGGAGGGGAAAACCCTGGAGAGGCGAGCGGGCCTGAGGCAGCTGCTGCTGGGGATTCCCAGTGACAGCGCAGCGCCGGTATGTGGGGGTCTGAGCGGCTCCCACAGAGAAATAATCTTTGAAGGCAGGATGGTAATCTGGATGAACTGACTGCACAGACCATGTTTTCAGGAGGACTTTCTCACTTCAGCATAGATTCTAACTACTTTCTACCCGCTGATCACAGCTAATATAGCTGCCATTGTTCCAGGCAGAGAAAGGATAGGTTAGCTCCGCCCACCGCACATCAGACCCACTTTTCCACCGAACTAACCTGACTCCTCCAGATGGATTTGCTCCGCATATCCATCTGGAAACCTTCCGTTGAAGTAATCTTGGGAAGGGGCGAAAATACTGGTTAGCTGATTGGCCTATGTTGGTGATAGACGGGCCAAATAAACCAATCAGATCAACGAAGCATATGACGTACTAACAGAGCAACGACGAAAACACAACCACAAGCCAGGCTACTCTTGCTGAAACCAGTCGGGAGAAGAGCAAAAACATCTTTTCCTCTGAGAAAAGCCTCCAGAGCAGTGTTTTGCTCTTCTTTCAGTGAAGAAATACTCTGTAATTCCGATAAAACTTGCTCGATAGCCACGCTAACGCTAGTTTCATCGGCTGAAGCCGCCATGTTCTTTAGACTGAACTGTGGCGCTTCTCGTTGCGTCACACCTCAACCCGCCTCAAAGCCAACGCTGATTGGACGTTCGTTTGGTGAACGGCTCCAAATTTTCTTCAACGGAGAGTCTCCAGACTGATCTGCGAGTGAAACCTTGAAAGCTCGCGAGATCAGGATGGTCTCACCAGGCTACCACCGAGCAGCTAGAGCAGCAAGGATGACTCAGCCGTGCATCTGAACTAAACTCATCCAAGCATCAAACATGAAACAGTAGGCACATTTTTGCTGCTCCTGCTGCTTTAGGTGTGAACGTAGCATAATGAGCTGGAGCAGCACCAGGGGGGTTCCTGCACGAGGTCAGCTGGATAAGGAGAGTTTAAGACCAATCAGACACGTTTTCAGCGGCTGAGAAGAACGGAGGAAGCAGGGAGTCTGACTGAGGGGGTCAGAGAATATCTGACATAAATCATCTAAAGCAGGCATCCCCAAAGTTCAGACCCAACCGATCCACACCGCGCCAGACCCAACTAAACCGCACCGCGCCAGACCCAACTAAACCGCACCGCGCCAGACCCAACTAAACCGCACCGCGCCAGACCCAACTAAACCGCACCGCGCCAGACCCAACTAAACCGCACCATGCCAGACCCAACCGAAGCGCACCGTGCCAGACCCAACCGAACTGCCCTGCGCCAGACCCAACTAAACCGCACTAACATGGTACTAGTTCATCAGTAGGGCTTGGCGCGGTTCAGTTCTGGATCGGTTCCCAGATAACAAAGAGCGAATGAGCAGACCGCCTCATCTCCTGACAGTCAGCCTCCATAATCAGGACATTTCAGACATTCATGAAAATCCTACCTTCCCTACCGCGCCGCACGATTTCCAGTGATGATTCTGCTCAGCAGTGTGATGAACCTCAGTGTTGTTTCTTGCGTCTGGAAGCCCTGATCAGACGATCGTTTCTCGTATCCACTTCCCAAAAGCCGACTCTGTCGAGTAAAGTCACCAAAGGCTGCCTTCTTACCCTGACTCTCTGCAAACAACGAATAATCACAATTATAATTTAACTTCCTGAACGTTAGGGGCGCCACCATGTTGGTTTGCAGGTTTACTTATTTACTAGAGAGCAGTAGTACCTTAGATCATTACTAGGAGCTCGGCACGGTTAACTGATCCAAGCTCGGTCTGAAGTCGACATGGATTGGTTTCCAATGGGGTCGTGTAAATGGGGTTCTAAGGGCAGATTTAGGAATACCAACCTGATAGGCTGTTACCTGAGGGGGTTTAGTCAGGGATCAGAATCAGGGTCGTGGTCCAGAACATCGGAACGCAGGTGAGAGGATCCAGGAAGGGGACAACGAGACGAGGACACAGAACGTGATCGACTGGGAAGACAGGAATCTATTCACACTGTGGCTTTAAAAGACTCTGTCTGATCCACTGGTAGAGGGTCAGCTGACTGGTCTGACTGGGAAAACCAGCCATCCATCCATTCTCCATCACGCTTATCCCAAACGGCGTCACAAGGGGCGCTGGTGTCCATCTCCAGCTGTCTAGGGCGAGAGGCGGGGTCCACCCTGGACAGGTCGCCGGTCCATCGCATGGAGTGGGAAAACCAGTGAAAACCACAACATGCCACCAGTGGACCAGGACCAGTTCTGCCAGTTTAACTGATGAAGAAGAAGGTCTGAGCGGCTCTTATCACCAATACAGGTCCATGCATCGCTTTACATGGTTTCTACTTATGATCGCCGTGGTCACAAACATTTCCCAGCGTGCCTCAGATTAGAAACACCGACTGAAAACGTCCTGCTGGGAGCAGATGATGCTGGGGAACGGCCCCCCGCCGCAGTGAGAATAGAGAATCAATAGGAAGTAAAAACATCTCCTGTTTAAAGAGGAGGAGATTTCACCTCCTCTCTGAGTGTCTCTGCAGCTCCGAGTGTCTAAACAGAGAAATAACAGCTGAGGCTGATAGACCGGCGCCCTGCTGGTGGTGTTACCGTGTGTCCGTGCCTCCACACTTCTACAGCCGTGACTCACCATGGTTGGAATAAAAGATGGAACTCAGAGTGTGGTAAATATCCGAAGTGGTTCTGCTCTTGAATCAATGCAGCGTTGCTGCCGTCGCCGGAGGCCATCAGGAACACCACTGATTAACCGGAGGAGACATGAGCCCCATTTACTGCGGG